AAACAATAGTTTCCAGGAATGTGGAAAGACATTCTCAGGATCGTTTTTAACAAAAGAGTGCATTCAGGCCCCTCTGCATCCTTCACATGTTAACTTTAAGTTGCTACAGATGCACACACGAACATGCTCATGCTTGCACTCCTGACACAGGCTATTCCTGTGTAGTTACCTCATCAACAGGGTAGTGCATTCAGAGGCTCATGGATACTCTGCAAATAGGACAGATTACAGCTGCCAGGTCCAAGATTGAAGCCAGGTGGTCCATGGCTGAGATGGGGTCTTAGGCTAAGTTTAGTCTACAGAAACATCCCTTGGTATATAAATAGCCCTGGTTTAGATAAATGTCTACCACTGGCCATTGCTAAAGATTTGGTCCCCCTCTGGTGGTATTGTCGGAAATACTGAGAGGTAGTGGTGGATCTTAGTGGGAAGTTCTCAGGTCAGCTAGGGTGTGCCTTTAAAGAGAATTATGGGACGACTCCTTTCTCTGTTCCATGGCTGCCATGAGGGGAGAAGCTTCGCTTTCCCATGGGCTTCCTGCCATGATGCGTCTTCCACAGTGTGCTGCTTCACCAGAGTCTAAGCTCCCGGGCCAACTGATCACAGTTTGAAAACCCTGAACTTTCAAGTCAAAATAAATCTTTTTTGTCATCTTATTACCTTAGGTATTTTTTTTATAGAGGTGGAAAACTGATTAAAACCTGGAATTTTTATTTTAATAGTTCACATTTTTCTTTCAGAAGAGACAACAAAATGGTCTTTCATTTCAATACAACAGGAGGCTTCATCTCAATAGTGATGGCTCCTTCATGTAAGGGGCTTTTCATTCCACCCTAGCTCCCAAGTCTCCCTGCTAACAATCTTGTAACTGCCTGCTTCCCTTTTATACAATTATCTCTCTGTCCTCCCATGCACTTGAGGTCATGGTCCCTCTTCTAGAGCCATTTTATGCTTCCTAAGTATCCCTGAGATGAATTCTGTATTCTACCAACTTATATGTTGAAGCCTTAACCCTCAGAATCTTCCGGAATGGAGCCAGGGTCTTTTTAGAGGGACCTGATTCTGAACAAGGCTATTAGGATGGTGGGTTCTAGTCCAATACAACTACTGTCCTTTTAAAGATGAAAACACACCTAGGGAGAACGCCATGTGAAACTGAAGGCAGAGCTGCCTATAAAAACAAAGTCAAGGAACTGCCCCAAATTTCCAGCACACCAGTGGTTATGGGGTTGGGGCTGGGAGGGATGAGACCATAGCCTGCAGAGCCATGGGCCTGCCTTACAATGCAGTCAGCCTGCAGAAGGAGTCAGTCCAACATCTTACTCTCAGACTGCCAGTCTCCAGAGCTGGGGACAATACATTTCTAGTGTGTAAACCAATCAACTGGTGACACCTTGTCACAGCATCTCCAGCAAACAAATACTCCAGATGGCTTAAATCAAGCCAGCATCTTCCTTTGATCACAGAGAGGATCAACAGGCAAAGATCTCTAACATGGGCCATGTTCAGCATAGGGAAAGGATTCTTCAAGGAGAAAGTCCCTTTCTAAACTCAAACATCCCCCATTCCCAGCACTTCTAACATAGCTGTGTCCAGTCACAAGCTCGGCCTCTGTCCACTGTGGCTCCAGTGGCTGCTGAAAGACTTCTGGTCAACCACGATGGCAAAGAAGTTGAAAGTTGATCTCTGAATGGGTGGTAGTATTTTTAGTTGTCAAAAAATTACCTTTATTGTGTGTGTGTGTGTGTGTGTGTGTGTGTGTGTGTGTGTGTGTGTGTGTGTGTCTGGGGTTGGGGGGCATGCCATGGTATGCATGAGGAGATCAGAAGGCAATTTGTGGGAGATAGCTCTCCTTCAGCAATGTTGGTCCTTGGGATTGAACTCAGGTCATCAAACTTGGCTTCACCTTCACATGCTGAGCCATGCCACTGGCCTGGAGGAGGTATTTTAACAGAGAAGAGAGAGGCAGGCTGCTCTAACCCTCATCTACTGCCAAGATGGACATAGGGGTAGAAGCTCCTGGGGCTACTGTGAGGCACCTTCTGCTTTCTTATTCTTCACATGTTTTTCTCCCCATTGGATCCAAATGGCACAGATGACCATGGGCGAGGCTAAGTCTGTGGATCCTCTGTTGGCAAAGCTGGAATGCTGGCAGTCCCCCAAGGGGCTGGGGGCACAGGCTTTTTATGGCCAGAGTCAGTTCACGTTTCAGCGTTTTAGCTCCTTTGTTCCTGACAACCCCATTGGCAGTGGTCCCTCACCAATCACAACACCAACACAGTCACCTCACCAATCAATCAGCACCCCAAACTGGAAATAGAAGGGAAGAAACATGCTAGGAGGCCACTCTGACACGGCACTCTACCTATGAACTTTGAGAAGCATGGCTCCATGTCTCATTTTTTTTTTAATGGTAATGTTCTTGAAGTGTTAAATTAGATTGGAAATAAAAAAAATTGAGTCATGTGGATGGAACATCATGTTGGCAAGGTGACCCCTCTTAGGGATCAAGTTCAAAGCTCCCTAGAAGACATCCAGAAAGACTGTATCACGGACTTTCACAGTGAGGTTGGTCTTGGTTGGAGTGAGGGAATATCCTGAGGTTTCTATATTTCTCTTGACTAGGGGCCACTAGGGAGAAAAGCATTGCTCATATGACTTGGATAAGGGAGCCATAGACCAATGGATCTTAAGCATTCTCATCAATAAGAATCTCAGCATGTCCTCCACATGTGCCATCTATGTATGTATGTATAAATGTATGTATCTACCTACCTACCTACCTATCTATTTAGACAGAACCAAATATAGTCTTGGTTGGCTTTGAACTTGCTGTGTAGTCTAGGATGACACTTTGAATTTCTGAACCTCCTGCCTCCATGCCTCCATCTCCTAAGAGCTGGGATTCTAAGTGTGTGCCACCATGCATGGCTGTGGGCTATCTATTTATGGCTAATAAATAAACATGAACTACATCATGAGTGTGCCAAGCACATTATAATGAGATATAAATAAAGAAGTTAAAAAGAAGGAAATAACAAAAGTAGAAGGTCTACTGCCTCTGTCCCACTCCCCAGGGGACAGACTGGTTCATCCTGCACTTACTGCAGTGTCCTGGAATCCTGAGTCTGTATACATAAGGAGCAGCAGCAATGCATACCCTCTCATCCACATTCCCATCTCTGATTAGAGCACTCCATATGTCTCCAGCCATGGCTGACTGAAGCACTCATTTGTTATAAAGAGAATCTTGATGATTTCTTGACTGAGTTAGGAATGTCTGCTCCACAGCACCAGCAAAACAAAGCTAATGGAAGTTGCAGGGGTGACTTTCCTCAGCACTGTGACAAAATACCTTCCAGAAGCAACTAAGGGGAGGAAGGGTCTCGTTGGCTCCCAGTTACAGGCAGGGATGCATGGCTGAGGTCATGACAGAGTGGACTCCAGTCCCTCCAGGGACTCCTCCCATCTCAGTGGAACAGGAAGCAGAGAGCTATAGCTGGAAGTAGGCTATGACCCTCAGCAACCCATTCCCTCCAGCTAGGCCCCACCCACTCTAAGGCTTCTGCAACCTTCTGAAACAGCACATCACCTGGAGGCCAAGTGTTCAAACACTCATGTCTGTAGGGGATACTTTACATTCAAACCCTAACCGGAAAATAAGAGTCATGCTTTTAAGGTAGAAACCCTCCTTCCATGCTGGAAGGTTCTGTAGAAATTGACCTCACTGGGCTTGGCTCACTGTCCCTTACTCCCACTCCAGGACTGTTCTTGGATTGTTGCACTTTTTTTTCTTATGCTATTAAAACCATCAGGCTGAAATGTAGCTTTCTTTCTTGCTCATCCCGTGAGACCCACACCATGGTTGGTCTTCAGTAGCTCTCCTGGATTCCCAGCAGTATTTGTGCTTTGGAAAAGAAGAAGGGTTGGAAGAGGGAGAATTTCTTGGACAAAGATTTGAACATAGAGAACTTTCTCAAACACAGACAGCCCTGTCTCTTTGTTTCTTCCCCTTCTGAGTTTTATGGCCATGGCTACCAGAGTATTATGGTGATGAGATATGGTTGTGTGCTCAGCATTAAGAGGCTGGGAGTGTTCTCTGCTTGGGAAGATGATGAGATACACACACACACACACACACACACACACACACACACACACACACACACAGAGGTAGTAAGAACAAGTGCACAAGAAAGTGTATATATGTGTATTCTGATATTTTTGTTCTCCACTTTTGAATACTGTGTTATACAATGCCAAATCATATCAGTGTTGACTATTTCACACAGTCCTGTATCATTACCACAACACTCTCTGGAAGAAACCAAGCTAATTATAAGAAAGAAGCTATATATAGTAATACGCAGTAATAGAAAAGTAACTAAGACCATAACTGAAGTTCTCTAAGCCTGATGTCCCCAACTGTAAATTGAGCATTAAACATGCCTATCTTATAGGAAATTCAAAGAAAAAAATGATTTAATATATGTAATGTGAAATGCTTACAAGCATTCTCAAATAGCAAGTATTCAATAAATGTTATCCATTAACATATAAACTTAGACTTGGATAACAAACCTACATGAGAGTTTAAGACATTACTACAACACAAAGCTATGCCTATGTCTTTAATAACCATATACACAACATTCATGAAGCATCACAGAGTAGCAAGGAGGCATCACTACCAAACACTTGACTACATAACAGAGTGTGCTTGATTGTTTCCAGAGTTAACCAAACCACAACTCCTTTACATACAGTCCTAACACTTCAGCCCTAACCCCTGAATCAAGTGAAATCTCCAAGATTTGGCTTAGTGAAGGGGAGGGATGACAAGCCACCGTAGGGACAAAATAAGATGCTACCAACTGGCTTTGTGTGCAGTATGTTGCTAAGAGACACCAAGAAGCAGGCTGGAGATGGAGGCTGTACACTTCTACTGTAGCCACAGAGCCTGTCCTGAGGTCAAAAAGGCAGGGGTGCTGCTCTCCTACCTGGTGAGCTTGGTGCCAATCTGCTGTCTGAGCTCCAACCGCTCCTCATCAGTCTGTCTGGGGAGGATGTTCTTTTCTTCCAGCTCTCGCTTAGAGGGCCTGTTGCTGAGTTTGATGGCTAAGGAGTCCTTCCTGCAGACCTTCATGGCCAGAGAGCCTGGAGGAGGGAGAAGTTAGTCAATTAACAGAGACACCCATCTGCCTGGATGCCTATGAGGCCAACCATGGGTGGGCTAGGAAGCAAAAGGCAGGAAGATAGACACAAAGGGCTTAATACCCAAGAACATTAAAGTCCGAGTGCCTAGCACTATTGCCATGGTCAGGCTTTAGATACCGCACAGGCTGTGGGACATACTGGGAGGGAAGGGGAGCCTGTGACTAGATCTCTCCCTCCAGAAATCCCCAGCATGCGGCAACATCACAAAGGAGGACAAGACCTGCTTTGCAGTGCCATAGAGGGAAGAGGACAGAGAGGAGAGAGGTCTCAGCAGCTAGGAAAGACTTCACAGAAGAGGGCTGCTGCCAGGAGACAGCACATTCCTATAGGGCACAGGCTTATGGGAATCCATATCTGCATATGTTCAGTAGTGACAGGGATGCTAGGAACCCTCGGGAGACAGACAAGCGCCCTGGAGCTCAGGGCCTATAAAAGGAGATAATAATAATGCTGTGTGGTCAGGGTGGAGTCATTTGGGGTGAGAGCAGAGTTGAGGACTGTGAAATGAACACTTGTCTAGGACTGCTCTTTCTTTTGAACATTCAGGTTTCTGAGCACCCCGGACTGCTCTACATCTGTGGCTTCAACTGGAGTTGGTTTTGTTCTTTAGGGAACAGCTGGAGGTATTTTGGGGTGTTAAAGGTTAGGTGGCAGTCCAGAGGTTGGTACTGCCATTTAGCTGGCGGAGACCCTGGAGGCTGTTAGTCACACTGCAATGCTCAGGACCACCGTCACAACAAAGAACGATGTGGCCCCAAAGGACAATAGTGCTAAAGTAAGAAAGCCTGGACCAGAGTCTTCTCCTCTCAGGCACCACAGGGCAAACAGGCTCGGCGGCTGTTCCCTTCCACTCACGTGCCATTGCAGCATCTGACCGCACCTCTACAGTCCTGTCTTCCTTCTCCATCATCCCCCATTTACCAGTCAAATGGGACCATGTTGATGCCTTGAGACTATTTTAAGATAGAGATCTGAGAACACATTCTTAGCTCTTTGCTGGGAACACACTATACAGTCAACAAATGGCTGCTGTTACGATAAATGCACTTGTTAAACAATTGGCCCCAAGCCAGCTATAGCTATCCTTACACCATCCAAACCTTAGTTATTCATGGCCAGAGTGACAGATGACACTTGAACATGATAGGATGGATACACAGTACCTAGGTTTACACATGTGGAACAGATTTTTAGGCTCTCCCTCCCCTGACCCCTTGTTGTTCGAAAAAGAGGGTTACATTTCAAGAAAGCAACCAAGGCAGAGGTATGAGGTCATAGCATAGTGATGTGTATAACTATGAAGCTGGATATTTACTCTCTCTCTCTTATTACTGCTAAGGAAGTGGGGCCTCTAGAAGTCACTCGAGCTGCCCTGTGACCTAGGGCTCAGTTAAAAGCATATATTCAGACAGCTGTTCTGCGCTGGTTCTGCAGTACCATGCTCCCCGCCACCACCATGAAAAGTCTGCCTGCACGTACTGGTGTACAGTGAAGTGTCATCATCCTCTTCCTCCTCCTCTTCCTCCTCTTCCCGTGCATACAGGCAGGATGAGTCTTCATAGTCGGATTCATGAGGCACGTTTTCCTTATTGTCATCACATTCAATCACAACAGTTGGCACTTGTCTTATTTCCGGAAGTCCCAGGGGTCCTCCTTTTGTGACACTGTCACTTGAGTGCAAACCAGAGCTGTGGTAAGAAGTGGAACAGGGGACACGCTGCTCGGAGCTGCTTAAAGAGAAAACAAAAGAGGAAATTCACCTTAGCCCACACGTCCCATTCAGGCCTTGGAGCTGCTTCAAAATTCAGTTGTCCCACTCTCAGAGATAAAGATCCTCTAGGCAATGGGATCCATTGCTCATCCTGCTGCTTGTCCTATAGCTTGTCCTTTTAGGATAGTGCTTTCCTGATGGAGGCAGAAGTATGGGATACAAGAACTCTGCATGGATGGACGGTGGTGCTGGGTGCACAACCATTTATAGCCACTGGATGGCGCACTTTGAACTGGTTAAAGCAGGGCTCCTCTGCAACCCACCTATATCCTAACTGGGGTAAAGGATTAACTTGATCTCAAGTGAGCTAGTAAGTGAGGTTCTAGTTTTCAAAAGCTATGTAGAGCAGTGACAGGTACTGAGAGTGGAGAATAATTTGAAATGGTGTGGATGGAGATGAAGTTGAAGAGGAGAGCTGGGATGAATAAAAGGCTGAAGCCTGTGCTTGGACATCAAGGTGGACATGGCCACAGACCACCTAGAGGAAGGTGTTTTCCAAGGATGGTGTCAGGGTTCAGCAGGCAGTCACAGGTGACATTAGCCTAACTTCCTGCCCCACCCTCTCGGCCAGTTTTCTAAGAATGATGCTCTCGAAATCAGTGCAGGTTTAATATATTTTCAATTACAAAGATGTCTAAAGCATCCACTGTTAGACAATTACAAAATGAATGCCATTACAGTTTCCTAATAGAGCCTATGTGAAGATCTCATAGCAACTTGGAGACCCTCTGTATGAAGTCCAGCAAAAATAATGGGAATATGGAGGTTGAAACATGTCATTGTTTCTTTCTTCCCTCCCTCCTTCCCTCCCTCCCTCCATCCCTCCCTCTTTCCCTCTCTCCTTTAACTTTCTCCTCCTGCTCTTTTTATCTAGTGTTGGGGACTGAACCCAAGGCCTCAGACAGGCTAGTCAAGTACTCTACCCATGACATATATCCCTGGCTCAGGTAAGATTTTTATTCCTTTTCAGTGTCATCAAAAATAGAACTTGTACACACATTTAAAGATTTCTGAATATGGGAAACTCAATATATTTTTATATCAAAAAGTATTTGACATTCATAAGCAAATGGATTGTGAAGGTATATTATATATCAAAGCTTTACACTAAAATATTTTTTCTAAAGGAATCTTTCTATGCTGTAAGAAAACATGAGTCCCCTTTGAAGCTTTCAATTATGTTTTAAGTTATTGCTGTGTCTAATTTAAATTCAATTAACTTCCTTTCACCGTTTCCAAAGGGTCGCTTTTCTCTCTGCATTTTCCACATCACTCTTCAATGACACAAATGGGAAATCCAGTTAACACCATATGAGCTACGATGTTCAAGGCAATGAACTAAATCAACTTAAAAACAACAATTACTGAATAGGATGAATCATGTATTTATAAAAAAAATGCAGTTTTATTAGAGATTAGTAGTTTGAGATGGCCCATTTCCCAGCTAATTACATAAAACAGCAGTGGGAAAAGCAGGTAGGTAGAACACGTGATAGATGGTCTCCAGGGTGACAAATACAATGCTTAACTATAAATTGGACTGGGTGGGCACCTCACTGCTTTGCCCTTCAAGGCAGCCCCTCCTATGGGGTAGAGATGGTGACTAAATCCCAGCCGTGCGCAGATATCTTCCTCGGGTATCATGGGGTAGGGGGGGTTGGCGGCAGAGACAAAAATGTAATTCCAGGGCTCGTGTTTTGTTCCAGCCTTGCCTTCTCCTCTCTCCACGTTCATAATTAACTAGCATGGTTCCTAAAAGGCATAGAGCTTAGGAGAGACATCTTCGAGTCAGGGATGGGAAGCAGATAATAGGTATTCTTGTTTGGTGTGAGGAAACCTTGGAAGCTAGAAAACAAGAATGCCTTGAGGCAGGAAGCTCCAAAGTGAATGCAAAGGAAGAAGCATGGGGGATAAAAGAGATAAGAAACCCATTGCTATAGGTGGTGTGGTAGTTTGAATGAAGATGGCCCCCACAGGTCAGATATTTGAATACTTGATCCCCAGTTGGCACAACTGTTTGGAAGGATTAGGAGGCGTGGCCTTATTTGAGGAGGTGTGGCCTGGGGATGGGCTTTGAAGTTTCAAAGGCTCACACCATTCCCAGCTAGCTCCCTCTCTGCCTCCCACCTATGGATGAGGATACGAGCTCTCAGCCATTATTCCAGCGCCAGGCCTGCCTGCCCACTTGCCTGCTTGCCTGCTGCTACGCTTCCTGCCATGATGGCCATGGGCTATAATCCTGTGGAACCATAAGTCCCAACTGAAAGTTGCCTTGGTCATGGTATCTCTTCACAGAAAACCACAATGGGTGGTCTGCGATAAAGAAGGGGCTGTGATTTCTCCTTGAAGACAGGACTGTGAGATCAGGAACAGAACAGGATTTCACAGGAGGGCGCCTCACTGCATTGACAAGTATAAAAGCATCACCCCACCAGCATTGCCAAATAGGGACCCCCACAGAGGTGGTTAACAGCTGCCTCCTGGAGACATTACAGACCCAGCTGGAAACCGATGCTGGCAGGTTATCTTCCTAAAGTATCACTCCACCACGTGCTAGAATGCCTCAGTTTGCACAAACAGGAATAATGTTTTCCAGGAATCTATATGAACCCATCAAAATGTGTGAACATATTTTACTAATCAATATCCAAGCTGGGGGATGGGGGTTGGTTGTTTGCAACTCTGATCTTAGCACTTGGGAAGCTGAGGCAGGAAGACTGAGAGCTCCATACTCGCCTGGGTGACATAGTGAGACCCTGTCTCCATAACTGATCAACTATCTTCTGAATGCCCAGTGTGTGCCAGAAAAGGAGCTGAGAGGAAGACATACTCTGTGGAGTACCCCGGAAGAGCAAGAGGAGATAAGAGTGAGCAGGAAGGAGGCTAGGAAGGTCAAGGTCATGACGGGACTCCACCTGGGGACATCAAGGCTTGGATTTGAGCCGATATTGTCCCCATTTGCTCTCTCCTTGATATTGGGCAAGTTATTCAGTGTCCCTGAGTCTCAACTTTCTCCAATGCAAAACTGTGTAAATCATGCCTTTTTGGGGTGGTGGTGTGCTAGCTGGCCCTGTTAACATGGCCTTCAATGAGACTCCCCACCCCCTTGTTAGTTAAAGGAATGATGTTCCAGAAGATTTCAAAACATATTCCGGTCAGCCTACCCTCCACCGGTGTTGGGGCAATGTGTCAGCCCACCCTCCACATGTGTTGGGGCAATGTGTCAGCCCACCCTCCACATGTGTTGGGGCAATGTGTCAGCCCACCCTCCACATGTGTTGGGGTAATGTGTCAGCCCACCTTCCACATGTGTTGGGGCAATGTGTCAGCCCACCCTCCACATGTGTTGGGGCAATGTGTCAGCCCACCCTCCACATGTGTTGGGGTAATGTGTCAGCCCACCCTTCACATGTGTTGGGACAATGTGTCAGCCCACCCTCCACATGTGTTGGGGCAATGTGTCAGCCCACCCTCCACATGTGTTGGGGCAATGTGTCAGCCCACCCTCCACTCGTCGGGGCCATGTTCTAACAAGCACATATAATTGCCTTTCCCATGGGAACTTTGAAGGGCTCCCAAGTCTTCAAAAGCAGCAATACAAATGGAAAAGGCAGTTAGCAGAGTGTGAGCCATGCTATCCAAGGCCAAGAGACACACCCAGGACGTGCAGCATCTAACTGAATGTGGCAGCGAAGGGAGCCTGTGAGAAGGGCAGTCTCAGTAGTGCTGATTTTGTATGATAGAGTTGCTCCATAGGTTTGCTTTAAGATGTCCACTGCCAAAGAAGAGTAAAACCTACATGTTCACTGAGCCTCTCTTCTCCTCACCTATGTGTCTATACAAAGCTCACCACATCTATACAGTTGGTGCTCTTGGCCTACAACATGTTCCTAGCTCATCTTCATCTCTTCTATTCCCATTTATCTTTTATTACTTGTGTCCAAAAATATCTTGCCTATGTTCACAGAAGATCTCTCAGTTGTCAAAATTATAAGCATCTATTTGCTTACCATCCCTCTGCTCTGGTTCAGATATGGAGCCCCCTCCCCCTGAAGCTCACGTATTAAAAGCTTAGTGTCTTGTTTCAAGCAGAGTTCAGAGGTGGGCTTCAGGGGAAGTGACTGGATTGTGAGGGCTCCACCTTCACCAGCAGACTGGTCCACTGTAGACTCACAGTCTGAAGAGTCTATTGGGCAGCTGTGGAACTGTGGAAGGTGGGGTGTATGTAGATGAAGAGGGGCCCTGGGAGAGTATCTTCAAAGGTTGTCTTGCCCTAGTCCCTTCCTGTTTACCATTCTCTCTTCTTCCAGGTTGCTATTAAATCAACACTGTCTGCCTCATGTTCAACACCACTTGTCTCAGGCTCTCAGCAATGAGATCAGTCCACCATGAACCAAAACTTCTAACAGTGGACCACAGTGTGTCGCCCTTTAAACTGTGTGCTAGTTACTTTTCCTATCATTATGACAACATAGTTGATGAAAGAGCTTAAGGAGGAAGCATGTATTTTGGCTCATGGTTTCAGAGGGCTTAGTCTGTTCATGGTTTCTTGGTCCCATGCGCTTGGCTAGGAAATCATAGTGGTGGAGAGCAGAGCAGAGGAGAAGTGTTCACTTCATGGATGACTGGGAAGCAGGGGGTGGGGGGAGAGACAGAGAGAGAGACAGAGAGACTATCTCAATACACACTCATATACATACTCTCTCTCACACACACACACACACACACAAATAACACACTTACATATGCACACACCCTTGCAACTCCCCACCACTCACACACACTAACACACCATTAATGGATAGATCATAATTAGTTTTTTATAAACTGCTAGTGTATTCAAAGAAAGTCCGTCTACAAGCATCAGTACATAAAAAAGCACCAGCATCTCCCCCTGACTTTGCAGCATGAGGTCAGAAAGCATCTCTCTCCATGTGACTGAGGAGGAATCAAAGACCA